GCTGCAGGTGGGGATGGAAATGCAGCTACTGCTGAAATGAGCTCAGTTTGTCAGAGCACGCTGCCAATAATGCCAAGGTCATGGGGCTGGACTCGATGAGCCTTGGGGGTCCCTTCCAACAGAGAATATTTTGTCATTCTGTAATTCTGGAAACCTGGAACTACCCAAACCAGAGCTGTGCTACAGCCCCTAGACAATGATTTAGGAATGATTTACCAGCTCAGTCACATACAGGAATTAATATTTTGGACGAAATCATTGCAACCTTATTGCTCTTAGCAAAGGGAGTATGTTTGGGTTTAAGTTAGACCTAAGAGTTGTGGTGGGGAATGGACTGACTGATGCTCAGACTTGTGACCTGGAACAGTTGTGCACTCGATTCCTGTCCAGATTAATGAGCACAAACCAGGGAATTTTAGGTAATTTTGAGTCTACAGAGAAAAATCTTTTCCAAATTAAGCATCCCTCAGACACCTCCTCATTCACTTGTTAAGGCAAATAACTTGATTTTAGTCTTCTTTCAGAAAAGAAGGAACAAAACAGTCTTTCATGGTCCCCTCATTTTTCTTTTGGTCAGGAATCGATTTCACAGCTGTGCCTGGTCACAAGTGTGAGCATCAGTTTGCTATTCACCATCACAACCCTTAGGTTTAATTTAAAACCAAACAAACTCCCTTTGCTAAGAGCAGGAAGGTTGGAGTGTGTCAGCTTTGGTTAAGACTGAACAATTTGATTTAAAAGAAAACCTTCAGGAACTGAAGCGAAGACCTGCCTGTGTCCCAAAACAATAAAAATGATCCATAGGTCTGAATCAGCACACCCACACTAAAATACCATTTATCACAGACATGCCAAAGAACAGCTGACAGTGGGAGCCTGTCATACTGTGCAGATGGAATAAAAGTTTTTGCCTTCTACTCTGGATCAGCATTTAAATCTAAATCCTTTCTAAGCTTGGCTCCTTTCCCATGACCTCCAAAATCCGGGTACAGCACGCTGTTACTTCATACAGGTTATCACATGGTGAAAAAAAAACCAACCAAACCCCAAAACCAAACAAGGAACAATAAAAAACCCTAATGAAAACATCACAATGATTAACTGTGGGAAATAAATTCTGAATCTTTAAGTTAAAAATAAAAAAAAAGGATTCACAGACATTTGCCACTCTGTGCGAAACACCTGGCCAGGGCACAACTGTGAATTACTCAGGATTAGAACAAAAACTTGATTTCAGAGTGGTCTATTTTAGTTTTTCTCAGTGTAACCAACTAAAGTGCCAAGATGGTTCAGAAGTTTCAGTATTTTACAAACCCACAGTAACTCTTCCATGCAGACAGGCAGGTGCAAGCAAAAGCCACCAGAGTCAAGAGAATTTGCAGCAATGCTTCTCCCCACCATGTCCTCCTCCACTGCAGGGGTCACTTCATCCTTACATCTGTAATTCTCATTTTTATTCGTGTCATTCTCAACACCTGAGCAGTTTGAAGTCCCAGCACCAGCTCAGCCTCTTGCTAATAGGATCACACAACATGTGGGATCCCTCCTGGCTGGCTCACAATCACCACTCAAGATGACCCAGGCTTAGAGTTTAATCTAATTATGATTTGAACCATCCTCAGAGGCTGCAAGTGTGCAGGTGACACCAGATCTTAAAGGCTCCAAGGGGAAATACCCTCTCAGCTCCAGTGAGAGAACTCAAAATCCCCCATCAAACACATCCAAAGCTGCTTTGCTGACACAAGTTCTAAAAACCAGGAGATGGGCAAGAAGGGAAAAATCTGTCTCTGTCTCTCAGCCAAATGGGTGTTAAAAAATAGGAAAAGAACCAGGCCTTCTGGAAATACAAACTGATTTAGTAGCTCTGTAGGAGGGCTGGGTTCTTGTGACATGCACTGAACAGACCTGTACTGAAGGCTCCAATCTGGAAGCTGAAAACTTGGTTCTGTACCAACATCACAGCAGGACTGGGGGGATTAGTCTGAATTAAATGCTTTGAAAAATGAAAAGAATTAGGTAAATACTGAGTATTATTAAAACCCTGAAGATACTGGACACAGAATAATTATTATTCATGTGAGATTACTGTGAAAATATTGGTTTATTTATGAATTAAATGAAGTTTGTATTAGGAAAGGGAACCACTGATAAGCCAAGAAAACAAATCCTACAGAAAAAAAAAATTGTACAAAAAAGTACAAGTAACAAACCAAGCTACTTCCATATCAGACTGACTGATGGAGATAACTCCCAAGAAAGATTTTTAAGCAATTTTGGTTCTTCAATCTAGCTAAGTTTAAGACAGAGCAGAGATTTAGTCCCATGGAAGTAAATTATTTCTTTGACTTTTAGTTGGTGAAGAACAGGGACATTTCTGGTCCTGGGCTGTTTTAATCACTTGTCATTTGTGTCTCATCATCTCCAGACGAGATTTGGGCAACCTATTCCTCCTAGAGCTACTTTGTGTGGAAACAGCTCAAAGCCTAAACTTGCAGCTGCTCTACAATGCCCCTCTCTACACCTGGTGCCAGCTATCAACATCCTGCCACCCTAAAATACCAAAAATAAAGCTCTAAGAAAGGGGAGGATACAAAACCAACAAAACCTTGCCTTTCCAAATGTCCTTGGCAGAGCAGCTAAGGCCAGAATTCCTTCAGATGCAACGTGAAACGTGTGGCCTCCAGAAGAACACAAAACCTTTCCACGTGGAATGCTGGACTCTAGAAGATAGGCAGGGGCATTTCTAAAAGTTTCTTAGCAATCCAAACCCCTGGTCACACACAGGCATGTAAAAGGCAGGGTACCAAACTGTACCTGCCAAAACATCCTGCTGAAATCTCTGAGAGAAAAACATTGACATTTACATGGTGAAAATGTCATTTTCATTCAGAAATTTACTCAAGGTGGTGACCTTATTTCTCCAAGAGCCTTGTATTGCACGTTCTAGAGTTGTCAGGAAGTACCTGTGTGGTTTTTTTTAATGTGTGCATCATATTTTACCTACAGCAGTAAAATTTTCCAGCCTCAGCAGATTTTGTTCCACTGCCTACACTATGAACAAAACCCACAACAGCTAAAAAGGGCTCTAACCTTTGCAAACCTTTTGGTCCTGAACTCTGTTCATGCTTCTAAAACAGGAAAGTGGTTTGCTGCACGTGACAATAGCTCCTCTGTACTTTGGATAGGAAATTCCTGTTATCAATGGCAGCTTTTGAAAAATTCATCCTTGCAGAAAAGCTGAAGTTCAGTGAGCTTATGTTATTTGAGAAAGAGCTTTGAAGTGTCTATTTCTAATCCTCCACTCTGAATGACAAAGAAGTTATTTGCAATTGTGAATCTTTAAAATGCAGATCTGAACTGATGTCTCTGTTTTTGTAACTCATTAACACAAACCCTGCAATTCAGCTTTTACTGAACATCTTTTTTCCATTCCAAAGTGAAGCACTAGTGCTGTCTCTTAAGATGATTATGCTCTTGGTGAGCCAGTGTTTCCATTCTGAGACCCAACAGAAATTACATTTTCAAATACATCAGAAATAACATTTTCTTTATCTGCTATTACAAAGTGACAGCCACAGCCCAGGATCTCTTATTGTTCATGTATTTTACAAGTCTGAAAATGGATGGCAATAGGATTCGCAGCTGGCAGAATGTCTCCAAAGAAGAGTTTTTCTATCAAATTTTACACAAAAGCAGAAAGAAATGAGGCTCTGGGCCCCGGATCCCACATGATCCAGCAGATGCTGTTTCCAGCTTCAGCAAGTTTTCATTCAGAAGCAACTGCCTCCATGTTCAACAATGCCCCATGGATCACACAAGATCCTGTTAGCCTGTATAAATGAGAGGCCTGGTTTAGAATTACAGTAAAAATATAATAAAACACTGCACTATCACCATTTCCCATCTCAAAGGGCTGCACATGTAGGGGTCATGATGATCCTACATGGAAAGGACTGTAGTTACCTGCATATTCCCAAAAATGTATCTATTTTTTATTGTACTATTAACGTTGTAGTAAAATCTGTATTAGAAAACTCATCTGTGCATCTTCCCCTTGGCATCTCTGAAATTGGAAAGATGCAAATTGTTGGTTCAAGAACAGCTCAAAAAAGAAATGAACCTGCAGTTGCTATTTTGGCTCCAGTGAAGTCAGAGAGGTCTTTTTCACTTCTGCTTTGGTACCTGACACTGCCTCCAATGGCCCAGGGGATGAAGGAGCCACACAGAAAGGCCAATCCTACAACTTGCACCTGCTCAAAATGGCAAAACCAGAGGTGGAGGCGTCGATGTTGGCACCCAGCCATCAGACACGTGGCACAGCTTTGGCACATGGAGCCAGCTGCAAAGAGCGACCCCTTAAAGATGCTCTGGGAGCTCCAGCCTAAGCAGTGACCCCCTAAAGCCACTGTGGGAGCCCCACTGTGATCTCCTAAAGCTACTGTGGAAACCCCAACATAAGAAATGACCTCTGAAGCTGCTGTTGGAACCCCACTCTAAGGAATGATGCCCTAAAGCTGCCATGGGAGCCACACCATGACCTTCTAAAGGTGCTGCAGAAGCCCACCACAAAGAGTGACCTCTCTCACAAAAAGTGAGACCCCAGACACCTGCGGGAGGAGCAGCAGCCCAGCACCTCCCCCCCAACACCCGCATCCATCACCCCGCAGGTCCTGCTGCTCCCTCCGTCCTGCCCAGGCAACCCGAACTGCACACACCCCCTTCGGCTGGATGGAACCGCACGATGGAGCTGGGGACAGCCTCCCTGCTCACAGTCCGTCCGTCCATCCATCCATCCATCCATCCATCCATCCATCCATCCATCCATCCATCCATCCATCCATCCATCCATCCATCCATCCATCCATCCATCCATCCATCCATCCATCCATCCATCCACCCGCCCATCCCACGCGCACCCGCGGGCGGGGAGCGACGCGGGGCGGCGGCGGGCGCTGCCCGCGGGGCGGGCGGGCTCTGTCGCGACTCCGGGCGACACTCACCTCCTGAAGTCAAAGGGCATGGTGGTGGCGGTGGTGGCGGCGGGCGGGCTGCGGGCGCCCCCGGCCCCGGCTGTGGCCTCGCTGCCGGCGGCTGCAGGGCCAGGAAGTGACGGCCCCGGACCCGGCCCCGGCGCCGCGCAGCCCCAGCCCATTGGGCGGCCGGGCCGGCCGGGGCTTCCGCCGCCGGGTTACGGAGCGGCCCCACCGCGCTCGGGGATCCGGGATCCGGGATCAGGGATCGGGGGTGAGGGATGCGGGATGCGGGGTGAGGGATGCGGGGTGAGGGGTGCGGGATGCGGGCGGCCCCAGGGCCCGCGGGGCTCCCGCACTTTGCAGGACCCGCTCGGCTCAGCCCCGCGGCTCTCAGAGCGCTGGCAGCGCCGAATTACGGAGTTATTTGGGTTGGAAAAGAGCTCTAGGATCATGGAGTGCCCAATCCCCGCCTGGTCCCCAGCCCAGAGCCCCCAGTGCCACCTCCAGCCCTTCCTTGGGCACCTCCAGGGATGGGCTCTCCAAACCTCCCTGGGCAATTCCAGTGCCTGAGCCCCCTTTCCATGGGGAAATTCCTGCTGGTGTCCACCCTGAGCCTGCCCTGAGCCCCCTTTCCATGGGGAAATTCCTGCTGGTGCCCACCCTGAGCCTGCCCTGAGCCCCCTTTCCATGGGGAAATTCCTGCTGGTGTCCACCCTGAGCCTGCCCTGAGCCCCCTTTCCATGGGGAAATTCCTGCTGGTGTCCACCCTGAGCCTGCCCTGAGCCCCCTTTCCATGGGGAAATTCCTGCTGTGCCCACCCTGAGCCTGCCCTGGCCCAGCCTGAGGCCGTTCCCTCTCATCCTGGATGCCCACCTGGCTGTCCCCTCCTGGCAGGAGCTGTGCAGAGCCACAAGGTCCCCCCTGAGCCTCCTTTTCTCCAGGCTGAGCCCCTTCCCAGCTCCCTCAGTCACTCCTGGGGCTCCAGACCGGAGTGTGGGGGTGTTTCAGGCTTTGTCCAGCATCTTTTGCACTCTCAGCATCACAGGAATAGCAGAGTGTGTCAGGGACTGCTCCACGGGCTGTGTCTGCAGACAGGGGACGGTCTCACACCTCCAAGTGCTTGCCAAGGAAGGGAGAGCACCCACCCCTCCATCCCTGGGCACCTTTTCAGTTTATCTTAGACATTAGGAAGAAATTCTTCCCTCTGAGGGTGGGCAGGCCCTGGCACAGGTGCCCAGAGCAGCTGGGGCTCCCCCTGGATCCTTGGCAGTGCCCAAGGCCAGGCTGGATGGGATTTGGACCAACCTGGGACAGTGGAAGGTGTCCCTGCCCATGGCAGGGGTGGCACTGGATGATCTTCAAGCTCCCTTCCAACCCAAACCATTCCATGAGCCTGTGATAAGCTCCTTTAAGGGCCAGCACAGCTCTTTCACCTGCTCTTGGAAATCTTTTTTTTTCTTCGCACTTTTCGTGAAGACAAGGATTTAAAGTTAGAAAAAGCTCCCCATTCATTAGATGAGGCATTTCCCCAATCTTTCCATTGTGCCTGCATGCCTTTTTCTGGTTGCATCCCTGGCAGGTTCAGTGCAGTGCACAAGGTTAATCCTGTCCTGCTCCATGCACCATCCCTGTTGTCATAATTCTGTCACCAGCTGAGAGCATCCCTCAGGGATGCTTTGTGCAGGTAGTGAGACTCCTGCTGTGCTCAGAATCACTGCCACTCACATGCAGTGCAGGTTACACTGCACTGCAGGAACAAAATACAACTATTCTTGCCTTTAAGTCTAAAAGCAGGGCAAGAGAAAGAGTGAAATGACAGCAGTCTGAGTATGCAATATACTGCATTTCTAATTGATTCTGTACCTTTCTTCCTCCTCCTCCTGCTGTCATAATTTCTTTACTTAGAGATGCACATCTTTCCATTTTTTTCCCCTTCACACAGAAACTAGGCCCATACCTGGTTAAAAAAAAAAAAAAGGAGAAATTCAAATTGAAGCAAGCAGGGGAAAATTACTGAAGAGTCAGAGCTGTTAATCAATACCATTTTCATTCAAAGAAAGAGATAATAATTTATGCTGGGAATATGAAAAACTGAACTGGAGGAATCCCAAGTATGAGATAACACAGCATTATCCCCCAGAAGCCCCCAGGGAATAGATAAAAATACCTAATTGTTTTTTTGGTTTTTTTTGATCTCAGACACCTAAATTATCTGAGTGTATTGTGCGAGCACATTCAGCAGATTGCTGCCCTTCACACTGTGCTCCAGAACTGAGCAGCCCAGTGAAATTAATGAGACAATTCTCATCTCTCATGAGGTCAAGCCATTGCCCAGGCGTAGTCAGGGGGGAGGATCGTTGTGGAAAAAAACCAAAACAAACAGTGCCTGACGAGGTGGTTACACAACCAAGGGCTCCTGGCAAGGAGCATCATTAGCTGTTAGTAACTGTCTTGGGCAGAGGCATCAGCTCTCTCAGGAGCCAAGAGAGTGCTGAGGGCTTTACAAAAGCTCTTCACTTGTACAGTACATAAATCTGGAGGTGGCCTTGAAGAGTTCTCCTCCTGCAGGCTCGAGTCTCCAGAGCACAGCACAGTGAGAGCTCGCCTTGTGGGGATTTGATTTTATTTTCCACTGAAAGGTCAAACTGGAGAGAGCAGTGGGCTCAGAGCAGTCCAGCAGTCCAGCTCACTCACGTCCTTGCCAAGGGAAGAAGAAGTTAATGCCCTGAGATAAGACCCTCGTCACAATATTGTTTAATTACATAAGGCCTCCATCGAGCTGGAGATAAGAACAGGAATTTGTCCTCAGTCCAGCTGGGTGGGGCAGCTGAGCTCATGGTGTGTGATAGAATGAGAACCAAAAGCAAGGGGTTCATCTGAGGTGCTTGTCCCACCATTAGAGCTGCAATGAGCCAACTGATACTGACAACTGATGGAAAAGTTAACTTTCTTTGTCATGGGAGCAATAAACCAACCTTTTTCTGACAACAGCAGACTTAAAACTATCATTTCTCTTCAAACTGCATTGAGAATGATCATTGAGCCAAACTGCTACTCTGAAACCAGTACACCAATATTTTCAGACCTCTGACTACCAAGAAACCAAAGCAGGAGGATTAATTGACTCACCTAAGACTCCAGAGTAAGATCAGCTTCAGTTCTAAATTAGTAAACAAATCCCTTCAGTCCTAAATCACGTTCATAATTCTTCTTGCAAAAAAGAGCATTTTCCTCATTCCAGATCACTTTGTTACAGATAAATCAGATCATGGATGAGTCTATCTGAGTTCCTGACTAATGTCTCACAACAACAAAACTGGTACCTCCTTCTTATGAAAAAAACAGTGGCAAAAAAGTGCTTTATTTGAATCATCTTCTTGGTCTTTTATTTAATAAATTTGTTTTTGCAGGTAAAATGATTCATGTCCAGGTTTCTGGGATATTTTTCATCTCCAGTTGATATGCTATTTTTAAGTTTTGACTTCATATTAATAAAGTTAATTTACAGAGTTTATATTGATCATTGACAATTCAGCCTTGAGGAGACTGAGGGGAGGTCTCCTGGAACTTCCTCCCGAGGGGCTGCTCCGATCCCTGGGACAGGGACAGGACCCAGGGAAGGGCTGGGGCTGGGCCAGGGGAGTTCAGGCTGGATTTTGGGAAAGGTTCTTACCCCAGAGGGTGCTGGCACTGCCCAGGCTCCCCAGGGATGGGCACAGCCCAAGGCTGCCAGAGCTCCAGGAGGGCTTGGACAGCGCTCCAGGGATGCCCAGGGTGGGATTGTTGGGGTCTGTGCAGGGACAGGAGCTGGACTTGGATCATCCTTCCAACTCAGCATATTCCATGATTCTCTGAATTTTACTTATCTCAGTTTTGTACTCTCAAAGTTTTCTCTTTCCCAGAAAAGTGCAACCTCAATCCTCACCTGCTCACCACACTTTGGGCTGTTCTAACATCCTGTACCACTCATATATACAATTTCCTTTTTTGTTCTGTTTGTGATTCCTGACACAGGGCTGAGTTTCATTTTAGCCTCTGGCTCCTGCCACAGCCCTTGCATTGATTGGGAGCGTGGTGTAGGTGCTGTGTGTGGGTCATGAGCAGCACTGTTTGCCAAAGGTAAAGCTGGGTACACAGCTCATCCTTGGGGTCAGCTGGGCTTCGTTCATCGATGGGGAATGCGCTGTGACTCTTAGGAAGGTGCAGTGCTTATTCACTTATTCCCCTTCTGCCACAGAGCTGTGTAAAAACACAACCAAAAGCTGCCCCGTGGCTTTTGTCTGGGGTGTTGTGAGGCAGGGCCCACCCCAGGCCATTTCCCTGGGTGATTCGATTTTATTCAGTTTGCAGGGGTGGGCTGGGAATGGAGTGAGCGCATTGCTCTGCAGGGCGTGTGCCCCCGATTATGTGTTGTGTTCTGCAGGGTGTGGCCTGGAGCCCTGAGCACAACTGCCGTTCAGGAAAAGGAAAAAACATTGCAGAGAATGAAGAGAAAAAAATGTTATAAAGCGTTTTCAAAATATAAATACCAGCGTTTGAGGAAATCTTGCTGCAGGAACAGGATGCGCGTGGAGGTGAAGAATTCAAATACAAGTGCTGTGCTAAGTATAATCAGTAATGAAAGCTCAGCCCTTCCTCTTAGGATTTGGATAAGCTATGTGTTGGCAGTACTTCCCAAATTCCAGGGAACAAAAAGCAAGCTTTGACTGTTGTCTTAAAGTCCTGCTGCAGTGTTGTTTATCATTACCACATGTAATGCTGTCCATCTATTTTTGTGAGATACACAATAGAATAAATGAATATCTACTGAATTTAATGTGTAAGTTCCTTCTTTATTAAATAGCTACACTCTTTCCTTAAGAAGACATAACAACCTCTGTTCTTCCTGCTCAATAGGCACAAGAAATAATCTGATTATTTTTCAGTCACAGGGATGGGCACAGCTGATGTGTATGGCTGTGGAGAAGGGGGTCTGTGCAGCCACATGGACTCTGCCTTGTCCTGTGACAGTGGGCAAATAAATGCTCAGGGGAATCTGCCACTCTTAAAGCCCCTAGAAAATTTACCCTGCTTTTAATACAAACTGCCTGTTTTCAAGCCTGTTTCCTGGCATGTTTTGGGTGCCAGGAATTTACTATGGGAAAGTTACAGCGAGCAGAACATTTTTTGTGTTTTTGTATTTTATTTCTTTTTCCACTGTGGAAATGAATGCCACAAGGAAGTTGCAGCCCCTGTCCCAGGCTTACCTCATGCTTTGTACAGCACCCCTGTGGTGGTGAGTGTTCCGTGTGGTTCAGGAGACTGCAAACACCTGAGCGAAGGTCATGGCCAAAGGGAGATGCAAGTTAACAGTTAACTAGGTTACAGACACTAACTGAAGTCTGTAAATTAACTGGATAGAGGACTTTGAACACTAGGAGGACCAGATCTCAAGGAGATTTGGGATTAGCAGCAGAGGAGGGTTGAGGATTACACCTGATTCTCAAGGCTCTGCAGTGAGTTAAATGCCTTAAATTCCCTTTACACTGGAGAGGAATAGTTCAGGACCAGGCCTTGAAGGAGTCGAGTGCCCTTAGCCTGTACACTGATGGTGAGATTCCTACATCAGCCAGTGGGAAATACTCAGGAGAAGGGGACCTCTGAATACCTCACTGTGAAACTCATACAGGGCCACAAAGTGTTTGCTTCTGGGCTTAGAGAGCACATTTGGCACCCGCATCTAAATTAGTCTTGTCAGTGAAAATAAGCCTGGGAGATGAGCCACCCCCTCTGCTTTAAATACTCACTGAGAGCTGGAGAGCCTTTCCCTGGAGGACAGGTCTGCACCTTTGGACACAGTGTGCGAGAAACTTGAGGGCATGAAGGGAGAAAAATGTGCTCTGCCCAGCCTCTGAAGGCTGAGCCACTGTGCAACCAGAAGTGCAGAATTTCTGGGGTTGAATTAGGGCTTTTACCTTGGAAACAGTGACTGTGCTTGGACACTGGAGGAGGGGTCCCTGACTCAATGATATTAAATACCTATAAGCACTCCTGAGACTTCCCTTCTGCCTCCATCATTCCTGGGAAATGGGGTCCTGAAGGTCTTGCTGACAAAAGCCCCAGCTGATTTCTGGACCAGGAGGGAAGGAGCAGCTGAGGGAAGGGGGCCCACCCAGAGCAGCGGGGCAGGAGAAGGCGCCAGACCCTGCGGCGCCTCGGGGAGCCTTCCCCAGGAGCTGTGGGCACTTCCAGCATCTGACGTGGCCGAGCAGGGCAGGCAGAGCTTTCCTGGGCTGCTCTCACCAGCACAGGCGCCAGCAGTCTGCACAAGTTGCACTTTGGTGCCTGAGTGCTGTTTTGGATGTCTCCCAGAGCTGCTGCAGTGGGCACTCAGGCTCAGCAGGGACGGGGATGCTGTGCCACAGTGACCTCTCTGAATGGGGGCTTCTTCCCAGGCTGGGAGCTGTGCAAGGCAGCCCAGGCACCCAGGTGCAGGGTCAGGTCTCTGTCAAGCTCAGCAGTACATGGAAACCAGCTTTCTACAGCAGAAGGTGTCATGGACATCTTTTATGAAAAATCCTTTCCTTAGGATTTTTTCTCCTGAGAAGCTGAGCGGCCTCTTGAACAAAATGTAACCAATGGTTATCTGCTGCTGTGGAATGCAACAGGTGCATCTGGGATTGGTATCATGTGGTTGTTTCTAATTAATGGCCAATCACAGTCCAGCTGTCTCGGACTCTCTGGTCAGTCACAAGATTTTATTATAATTCCTTTCCTTTCTATTCCTTGCTAGTCTTCTGATGAAATCCTTTCTTCTATTCTTTTAGTATAGTTTTAGTATATAATTTTCTTTTAATATAATATATATCATAAAATAATATATCAACCTTCTGAAACATGGAGTCAAGATTCTCATCTCTTCCCTCATCCTTGGACCCCTGTGAACACCACCACAAGAAGGAGTATGGGGGGATTCAGCAGCACTAGGCCATCACAAAGGCTCTCAGGCAGTAAAGAACTGAACCCAAACAACAGCTTGACAAGGAGGAATTTCTCAAACAAGGCTCTGGAAGTTTCCTTGGAAGCTTTGCCAGCTCCTGCTGTGGGCAGCCAGTCCTGCTGCTGCAGCTTAGTGGGTTCTCTCCCATCCTCTGACCCTCTGGAGCCAGCCCTGTGCGTGAGATGTTGACTTGCACTTCCCTGACTTGCTTTTGGCATGTCCTCTGTGCTGCCTTATCAGCCTGCTCAGTGATTTCCTCCAGATATTGTCTAGCTGAGTAAGCCCAATGGGACATTGCAGACAAGAAATACATACCTTTTTTTTTTCATCTTTTTCGTAGTAAGGATATGGATTTTTAATTGCTGCCTCTGCTGCAAATGGGACTTGTGTTTTCCTTGTTCTCACTCAGTCTCTTGGCACTGCTGTGATGGTCAGTGGATTGGGGAGGTTTTGTCAGTGCTAAAGAATCTGTTGCAGAAATCAGGGTGTGGCCAAAGAAAAATTATTTCATAAAGATGTTTTATTAACCCTGTAATGAATTAAGGCAGAAATCATTATCTCTGGCCTTGTTTTGTCTGCAGGGACACCTTCCGCTGTCCCAGGCTGCTCCAAGCCCTGTCCAACCTGGGCTTGGGCACTGCCAGTGATCCAGGGGCAGCCACAGCTGCTCTGGGCACCCTGTGCCAGGGCCTGCCCACCCTCACAGGGAACAATTTCTTCCCAAAATCCCATCTAAACCTGCTGTCTTTCAGTTTGAGGCCATTCCCCCTTGTCCTGTCACTACAGGCCCCTGTAAAGAGTATCTGGGCTCAGATTTGGAGTGGGGTTCGTTTTGGTGGTCAGTTCCAGATGCCTTGTGATCCAATCCATCCTCGGTGCCAGCCCCAGCAATCACCACCTGGCCAAACAGACTCTGAACTGTCTCAAGGTGCTGGCTGGAGATGGGGGTGAGGAGAGTGCTCTAAGACACAGAGTATGCAAGGGAGCGTGGAGAGATATGAATAAATGGAGAGAGAAACTGCTGGAGAAGGGAATGCCCAGCACAAGGGAACTGGGAACAAGCAGACCACACATGTAGGCAGGCCTGTGCAGGAACCTGAGGAGGATAAGCCCAGCTTAAGGCAGAAGCTAAGAGGAGATGTGCTTGGGGGAGCTGAATGGTCAGAAATGAAGCGAAAGGTTCCTTTGAAATGACAGCGTGCAAAATCAGAAATCACTCCACCAAAGCAACGAATAAACCCTTCCAGAAAACTCCTCCATCCTTCAGAGGAAGGCAGGCCCAGCAGCCTCCAGACTTCTCCCTCACCAAAGAACACTCCTTTCACCCTGTCTCTGCTGAGGCCACTTCATGGCTTCTTGCTCAAACTTCTCTCAGGAGAAAGAACAAAACCCCGTCCTCCTCACACTGTGATGATAAGCCTGCAATGGAGTTAGCCAGGATTTATTTTAATTGGACTTTTTCGCTTTTTTCCTGGCACTTTAAAGTTTATGAACGGAAAGGATCAGTCTGACTCAGAGACTGGGCTACTT